TTTGTGGTCAAATGGTTCTTATGACATTTGTTTGTTTTATAAACTGTTTCCTTCAGATGGAATAGGCTGTATAAGAGGTAGGTGACCTTGTTACAGAATGGGTCCTCAAGCTGCACCCAAGGATGCTTTAATTTTACCTGATTTTTATTTGCATAATCCAAAGAGAACCTGTATATTAGCTCTTTATGTCTGGAAATGTATGTTTCTTCCAGGCTGGTGATTACTTTCTGGGATGTGTGGTACTGGGAACAAGTGCAATTCCCTGGTTATCAGTGTATGAAGAGCATGGAAAGAAGGACAAGCCAGACTGCAGATGTTGCTGAACCAACTCACTTTTCAGCCTCAGATCTCACTGATCTGCTTATCACATCTTGTATTAATTACATCGTAACTGATTGCTGCTGTGAGAGACTGGAATGTCCTATGACTGTCTCAAAGCTTGCTTGTGTTTGTGCAGACCTCCAAGAGAAGCTGCTGTGGCCTGTGAATTGCTCTGGGGGATGCTGCCCACAGAAGCCGGAGTGTATTGAAGAATGCACCCCCCCACACTTTTTTGCGGCTGCATTGTCCGGATCTTTAGACAAGGCTCAAAAGGGCAGACATGGACTGTCATGGCCCCATCCTGGAGCCGTTTGCGGCTCCATTGTGTAGGCCAGATCCCATTCATGCACTGCTAATGAATTGACAAGAGGCAAACCTTTCTGCCCTTGTCGGATGCAACAAAACCTGTTGGACTAGAGGAAAAAAAAATGAAGGAGAGCAGATATGCTGATCAGCTGGTATGATGAACTTAAAAAGGCAGCAGAAAATCTTGCTCTTTGTGCATCTACCATTGAGGCCTGATCTGTGTGCACCCACCACCAAAGAACTGAAGACTGAGGACCAATGGGATGCTGCTGGATCCATGGTGGTGACTATTCTTGCAGACCTATCCCACATCCTTGCTTTATTTCTGCCTTTTCCTTCTATTCTGTCCTATTGCTACCTCTCTTCACTTTTTTAATAATAAAAACCTGTTTTGGGTTATACGGCATTTGACCTCATTTGTGTCTTAATCTCGCTCTTGGGATCATGTTGAAACCTCCCCCAACATTGGATCGGGACTGCTGTCCATTACACTATTGGTTGCAGTTAAACATGCAGTCTGTTGTTTGTGTGCATGTTAAACTCCATGTTGTATTGTCAATATAACAAGATACATTCAGTTTGGGCATTTTGTTGGGGTTTTTTAATATCTTAAATAATTTTATGTATTTCTGGACTAGGCAACCATATGTGTCTATTTCTTCAGATTCAAGTGATTCACAAGTGCTATCACTTTCAGTGCAGAGTGAATAGGAAACTTTAAAATATGAGTAACTGACAAACTACAAAAGTGAAAGGCACTGATTTGAAATATCTTGAGTCAGGAGAAAAAGTGTTGTTTATTTTCCTCCCTGTAGTTTAACTCTGTTTTGGAAGCAAGAATCACCATAATTCTTTGTGTTCCTAATATATTACCACGAGAAAAATACACAGGCCCTTGAGAAGATGAACTGAGATAGCTGTTATGCAAGCATGACAGAGGAGCATGCTGCTCTGAGGCAAGTCTGCCATGCTGCAAATACATGTGAAAGAGAGGGAAAGGTTTAAACATGGTTTTGGAAGTTATTCCCCTTTTTCTCGTCACTCCATTTGTCTGAATTCCTTGTACCAGGCTGAAGCAGCTCTAACTTCATATAAACATAAAATCTCTGGGATCTCCTCTTCTTAATGTGGACATTTAACCTCCATTCTCATTGTATCCAAGCAGCTAATGATCCCTGGATTATCCTTTAAAAAGGAAAGAAGATTGTACCTTTTCCTGCAGATGAGGAAATGAAACACAGAGCAAGGAAGGGTTACACCTGAAGGGCACTAAAGTGAACCCAGCACCCAAGAGCACGGTTTCATGGGATCCACAGCCCAGCTTACTACTGGGGCACTGTTGAACTACCTCCCCTTCCAGCCCCCTTCCACTGCCATGTTGTTTTCCCTGAACTGGAGCCGAGTCCTCCTGTGAGTATGCTTAGCTGATTCAGCTCATGGATTGATCTGGAAATAAGGAAACTTTGATGGATGAAATGAGTACACATTCTATCTGACTTTCGCAAATATCACTGAAATGTATTTTTTCCCATCTATTTGAATGTTTTGGTCAAAGTGAAGATTTAGCAACCCCAATGATATTTTTACAGCAGAATAACATTCCATGACCAGTGTCAAATACCACAGATTCCGAGATGTATTCTCACTAGTGGACACAACACATCAAATCAAGGAGAATGCAAATTGTCATGTTAGCATTATCACACTGCAAAGTAAGGTTACCATAGACAAGTAATTTCTCACTAAAATTCCCTTTAATAAAGATTTAAAATATCAAGTTCGGCACAACCATGTAGAACAAATAGAAAAAAATACATCCTGTAATCTGATGCAGAGGTTCCCCTGCTTCCCATATAGCTTCCTTGCTGCACAGTCTTTCTGTATCCTGTAAACTCTCCTGTGATTAGCCTTGCTCTGCAAGTGTGGGACAGAAGAACAAGTTGTGTCTGTGTTGTGTTTCAGGCACTGGCCTGAATTCACACTCCTCTTGCACTTGTACCTTCTGGAGACATATCTACATTTAGAAGTGGTTTTGTGTGTGGCAAGAAGAAAACAACTTGAGCCTCACACTAAGGTTTCATGCAGGTCTAACCACATCTTTATGATGGTGAATAGGTAAAAATGAATGCGACTCACACAGCTAGTCCTGCATATCTGATCACTAACCAATACAGTGCAGACAAGTTGGCCCCATGTCCCTCCTAAGAGGACTTTAGCACCACCTGTGACAGTAACAATTTCAGCTGCTTAAACACTCTGAAGCAAAAAAGGTGAAGAGAGCCAAGTCAAGCAAAGTTGCCAGGGTTTTGATTTTCTTTGCAGCTTGACCAATAGCTACTGTACCAATAACCATGTGTAGTCATGGATATGGTGACAGAGAAAGTCTGTGGAATTAAAACCACACTGTCTATGCCTCAGCTACTGTACTAAACATTTGAGAGTCCCACATTTTTGCTAGAACCCAATGCATGGCTTGAAGACATCTTGCAGTTATGTTAGTGTGAAACACCCCTTTGACCATATATAGCTATATAAGGCCTAAAAAGACTAAAGTCTGCACAATATTGTGCAATGCATTAGGAAACATCATCTCTCAAAGACCAGCAGGCTGTGCCAGCTGTACCCTCTCTGTCAGGAAGCAGCAAGGGCCATTGTTGTCTGGGGGACAGGATGCTGGAAGGCAGGAGAGAGTCCTCACCAGCCAAAGTCACAGCCCAGATTGTGAGGTGGTACGGTGATGATGAGGCAGGTCTAAGAAGCCAGGAAGCTAGCCTGCTGGTCAGGGTCAGGACAAAGCCAGTGGTGACAAGCAGGTCCTACGGTGATAGGCAGAGGCCAGAAGCCCCTGGCTCAGGGTCTGGCTCATCACATCCTTTTTCAGGCAGAGGCATGGCTGTGGCTGAACCATGGCAGGATGGACAAAGGCCCAGGAGTGAGTTTCAGTCAGTGCTTGAGGGTGGGAGTGAGAGATGGAGACCCCAGGCAAGGGTGGTCAAGACCATTGATGCCTTCAGGTCCTCGATGCTCTTAAGGCAGTGGGTTCACAACCTTGGTATTTAATACCAAGAGAAAGCCCATGTCCTTGCACTGGAGTATATACCTCCAGTCCCTCTGAGAGGTGTCACGGCCACATCTTACGAGGAAGATAGAGAAGTTTCACTGAGGTCAATGGAGGTCATGGTCTCTGGTGGGCATCTGGATGATTTCAAACACAAAGCTGTGGGTTTCTGTTCTCCTGCTGTATTATTGTGACAGTGAATGCTATGCAGTAACAGTTAGAGACACAAAGGCCTCTCAGTTAAGTGGATGGGGTACTCCCTTGACAGGTTCTTCTCCAAGGCACGTATATAGCTGCTGCAGCTCCAGTTTCACCAGATACTCCATGCTGTGCAGCCAGCTGGAGCCTACTTCATCTATATGTCCGATCTCTATAATAAATTAACCTTCTGAGAAAAAGGTTTGCACTATGAGTAGCAGTCATCAGAAGACAGAATAGTTCAAGGGATGCTTCACACATCTGGGTCACTAGATCAAAACAAGCTCACTCCAGGTCAGGTGCGATGGAGATGTATCCAACAGGTTTTTGGTAGGCACTGCCAGCCAGATGATGAACAAACAGCTCTGGGGACTGATCTACTATCTGTAGGATAGCTTCTTGAGGTCAAGGTTGTAAAAGCACTGTGTCAAAGCAAGGGAAGAAAGCCTATACTGCTGTTCTCTTTATGGTGTTTTCTCTCCAGGTAGATGTAAGATTTCATCCTGCTGCTTAAAAAAATGTTTTACCTTTCAGATATACTAATTTCCCTTTTGGGTTGGTTTTGCTTGAGATTCTTTATATATTCCCCTCAAGGGTGAATGGATTGGTGCATTTTTGATACCAGTTTTATAGTATTCAAACCCAGTTTCCTTGTGCAAGTGACAATATGATCCTGCATACAGTGAAAACAATGTCATATTCAGCTCTTGAACCTTGCCAGACTACTTTATAATAATAATCTGTCTACATCATTCAAAGATACTTTTTATTTGACAAAATGACTTAAACAGCAGTTTCTTAAAAAGCAAATTATTTAATAGTAAATGCAATTCATAGTAAGAAAAGTGTGTAGTTGTGGAAACCAAGAAATAAATTATGGCATTCTTGAGATCAGTGGCATTTCTCTCCTCTCCTTTAAATATATGCTAAGTCATTAAAAACTTAGTATCAGGGTTTATACCTAATTGGTTTGGTCATTCTGAAATACTACATTCCAGAAAACAAACAGTATTTTGTGATCACAATAAGTCATGTAAGTTTCTAAAGCCCCTTTAAAGGAAATACAATTCAAAAATACGTGATAAAAATCACTTGCAGTTTTGCAGGATGAGCGCATATGAAGCGAGATAAGTATGCTAGTCATGTATACAAGAAAAAAAGAAATAATAAGATTGTAAAATCACTAACACTGGGGCGTGGATAACTGGCTGTCCTAGAAGCTGAAGCTGCTTCTTTTCATTGAGATTCAAATACAGTATTAAAGAGTAAGAAGGGCAATGCACACATATATTATTATTACTCCTTTGTTGAATAAGAATAGCAAGTTTTTTCCCCTGTTTTGTTGCCTGTGTGCTCATACTTTCCCCTGGAATTAGAAATACCAGACGGGTGGACTGCTGCCCCCACACTCTCGCGTTGCGTGTAGGTCCGTAAAGGGGACCTGGAATGGGGGAAGGTTTGGGACTCTGCATGGGCTGGGCTCTACTCTATTTGCCTCCACCTAGGGCGGACGGGCGGGCGGGCAGAGGCCGGGTAGGGAGGCAGGCGGGCGGGCAGAGGCCGGGCAAGCAAAGCAGG